TTGGAAGTTGACATAAAAACCAGATTTGGCTTTGTTCACTAGTTGTCCTGAGATTTTCTCATAAGTCTCCATCTTTACCATCATGATCTTCAAGGATTCAGGTTCAGCTGAAGAAAATAGAATTGTGTCGTCAGCATAGCATAAATGAGATATAACAGGACCATGACTATCTATAGAGAAAGGGATAAAATCATGATTATTTAAAGACTCCATTAATTTTGAAAAAAGTTCAGCCCCAATAAGAAAAAGAGAGGGAGATAAAGGATCCCCTTGTCTTAATCCCCTAGAGGAATTGAAAAACCCCTGTCTATTCCCATTGATATTTATAGAATACCAAATATTAGACATAAGTCTCCAAATCATATCAATCCAAGATTCATTAAAACCAAAATGCCTCATAATATAAAAAAGATATTCCCATGAGACTCGATCATATGCTTTAGCCATGTCCACTTTTAACACAACATTCCCATGGGTGGAAGGTTTTGTAATATTATGGACCATATCCTGAGTCAATATGATATTTTCAGTTATGGATCTTCCTTTGATAAAGCCTGTTTGGTAAGGAGAAATAAGTTTGTCCATAAGGGGGCTTAATCTCTGGTTCAAAAGAGTCGATATGATTTTGCATGAGAAATTTCCAAGGCTGATAGGCCTTAGTTCATTGAAGGCTTGAGGATTATCCAATTTAGGAATGAGGATTAGGCAGGTGTGGGTCATGGCCTTTGGAATTTGGTTACCTGCAAAGAAGTCATTGATCATTAGTAAGAGATCATCCTTAATAATATCCCAACAAGAATGATAAAATTTTCCAGAAAGACCATCCGGTCCAGGAGCACTATATGGGCTCATGGAAAAAACGACAGCTTTCAGCTCCTCCATAGAAGGTATGGCTGTAAGGCCATCATTATCCATTTAATTGATAATTTTAGGAATACAATTAAGGATAGAAAAATTGGAGTCCGTATGTTCTCTAGTGAATTGCTTTTGAAAAAAGGATATAGCTTCATTTGCAATACGCTCATTTCCTTCAATCCAGGTGCCATCACTTAGCCTGATCTTTTTAAGAGCTAACCTCTTTCTTCTACCCTTGACAATGGAGTGGAAGAATTTAGTGTTCACTTACCCTCCACAACCACTTGATCCCAGATTTTTGCTTCCATATGGATTCTTCAGTTTTATGGGCCCTGATAAGAAGCGCATTTATGCGGTTAAGCTCAGCCCTGTTGGTAGCAGTGTTGTTTGTAATGGACTTTTGTTCAAGATCATCCATCTTCTTTTCCAGTTCCCTGACGTTGTCAAAAATATTACCAATAGATGTCTTCAAGTGGAATTTCCACATAGGGGAACCATGAACCTCTATATCCCAAGCCTGTTTCACCACCTCTTTGAAACCATTTTCGTTAATCCAGAAATCTAAGAATCTGAAATATTTGATAGTAGGCTGTGATGCATTCTTAGCAATAGTGAGGAGGGGTGAGTGATCAGAGCATATTCTAACCAAGTGATTGACATTGGTAGAATCATAGATATTCATCCATTCTTGGTTAACCAACACCCTATCTAGCCTTTTCCAGACTCTTCTGTTTGGAGACCATCCATTGCACCAGGTAAATTGTGAGCCTGAGAAGCCTGGGTCAATAAGATCACAATCCATGATAAATTTTATCATAGGCATGCTTTTGGACATTCTGTGAAGGTTACCACCCTGTTTCTCACTTGGATCAATAATACAATTGAAATCTCCTGCAATGTACCAAGGGAGATATCCCTTAGGTTATTCCAGAGGTGTTCTCTCAAACCAACATCACATTTTGCATAAACAGAAGTAACAAGGATGTTTGTTCCCATCCATTCAATTATACAAGTAACCTGTTGATCTGAATC